GGGGGAGGAGAGGGGCCAGTCTGAGATGCTGGAGGCCACCACCCTGGGTCACTGGGCTCTCCTGGGCCACTACCCCATGGCTTTGGTGGTCACCAGGCTGTGTTTGGCCACCGCCTCAGGTCACCAGGCTGTCTTTGGCCACCACCCCATGGTTCTGGTGGTCACCGGGGTGTCTTTGACCACCACCCCAGGTCACTGGGCTCTCCTTGGACCCCACCCCAGGTCATCGGGCTCTCTTTGGCCACCACCTTGGGTCACCAGGCTGTCTTTGGCCAGCACCCCGTGGCTCTGGCAGTCATGGGGCTGTCTTCGGCCACCACCTCAGGTCACCAGACTGTTTTTGGCCACTGTTTGTGGCTCTGGTGGTCACCAGACTCTCCTCAGCTACCACCGTATGGCTCTGGTGGTGACTGGGCTCTCTTTGCCCACCTAGTGTCTCTCTTTGGCCACTACCCCGTGCCTCTGGAATCTCCAGGCTCTCTTTGGCCACCACCCCGTGGCTCTGGCGGTCACTGGGCTCTCTTTGGCCACCACCCCGTGGCTCTGGCCATTCCTCAGGGGTTGGGAGCTGGTGGAGGCAGCCGAGGATGAGCAGAGCTCCTTCCATGGGGCAGGAATGGGAGCACAACGGCTGGAATTGGGACAGGGAGCATTCCCTGCTGCTCCTAGCGGTGCTGGACAGATCTCCACAGGTCTGGGGCAATTCCTTGGGAGAGGAGATCTCCTGGTCCCAAAAGAGCCGAGGCTTCCACTGCTTCCCTAAATGCCAGCAGAGCTGGGATGTGACACTTGTCACCTGCCTGGCGTCACTGCCTGGCCCCAAGGGTTTGAGCTGGAATTCCAGGGGATCTGGAGGGAGCAGGGAATCCACTGCCAGCCACCTTTGGGCTCCCAGAACTCTTCCTTCCAGTGCCGTGGAGGGGGCAGAGCCATCCCTGGGGGTCCAAACCTGCATCTAGATGTCCTCATGGGACCGGGATGAGCCTGGATTCGGGTGGATTTCCCATGTCCTGTTTGGACTGGGATGAACCTGGATTTGGGTGGATTTATTTCCTGCTGGGACTGGGATGACCCTGGATTTGAGTGGATTTCGCACATCCTGCTCAGACTGGGATTAACCTGAATTTGGGTGAATTTATTTCCTGCTCAGACCAGGATGAGCCTGGATTTGGGTGGATTTCCCGTGCCCTGCTCAGACCAGGACAACCTGGATTCTGGTGGATTTCCCAGATCCTCCTCAAACCAGAATGAACCTGAATTTGGATGGATTTCCCATGTCCTGCTGGGTCTGGGATGAGCCTGGATTTGGGTGGATTTCCCGTGCCCTGCTCAAACCAGGATAATCCTGGATTCGGGTGTATTTCTCATGTCCTGCTCAAACCAGAATGAACCTGAATTTAGACGGATTTCCTGTGTCCTGCTCGGACTGGGATAACCCTGGATTTGGGTGGATTTCCCAGGATTTTATGCATGTGGCTGGAATTCCTTTCCACTTGGAATATCCTCGGGAAACCACACTCCTCCAGGTGTAGGGAATGGTCCAGAGCTCCAGCAGCGCGGGGAAAAAACCCACGTGGACCCCAATCCTGTGGATCCCGCAGTCTCGGAAAAGCCGGACCCCACTCCAGAAAACCCCATTCCCTTCCCACAGCCATAGGAATGACCCCGTTTGCCTGGAAGTGCCCCTGCTTTTTTTAGTTTGCCTAACCCACCTCTTTTTGGGGCCGCAGTCTCCCCCACCTCRTTGTCCTCGTGTCCGTCCACCCCGAGGCGCGCGCACACCAATAACGACCGACTAATTAATGCGTTTTGGCTTCCATCCGTCCAGAGTGGCCATCTCAGGATGGTTTTGAGCCAGTCCCATGTCTCTCCCCACAGCTTTTGGGGCTGCCCCGTATCCAACGGGTTCCCAGCCCCCGTAGTGCCTGAGTCCAAGCCCAGCTCACCGTAGATGTCTCATTTTTGACCGAGCTGTCTGTCCAGTGGTGGTTTTGTCGCTGTGGTCGTGCCGTTGTTGTTGTTTTTTATTTYGTTTATTTTTTTTATTTTTCTGTTCGATGGTTGTCCTTTCCATCATTTTGTTTCCATTTTCTCCCGCGAGCCCGCCCTCCGGCCGCCCCACTGACCGCTGTTTTTTCTCGCCCACGCCGCCCAGATCAAAGTGGTGAATGCGTTCCGTAGCTCCCTGTACGAAGGCCTCGAGAAACCCGAATCCAGAAGCTCCATCCATAACTTCATGACTCACCCGGAGTTCATCCTGGAGGAAGACGAGCCTCGGACACCATTCCTTGACGGCGACGACGACGCCGAGCCCGACGGACTCCAAAAGCGAGCTGGGGGCAGCCTGGCCGGACCCACGGCCCTCAACAGGAACAACAACGCGGTGGACAGCGAGTTCGCCTTCCCCGAGCCCGGGAGCCCCTTCCACAGCCTGGAGACGTCTGTTTGACCTTCGAACTTGGAATTCCCCCTCCTCCTCCTCTTCTTCCTCCTCATCCTCCTCGTCCACCTCGGCCCCGTGTGGTCCCGGCACCAGGAACTGATCACACGCTGCGGTCACTCCGTGTCAAACTGCTCATGCCTGTTATCATCATCCGGGGGGTTTTTTTTGGGGAGGGAAAGGGTGGGTTTATCTGTTTTTTGGGGTTTTTTTTAGTTTCATTTTTGTTGGKGGTTTTTTTTTTTACAGTGATTTAAGCAGTGGGAACCAGAGTACCACCACGCTGGGTGTTGGGAGAGAGGCTTAGCCAAAAAAAAAAAAAAACCACAGAAAAAACAACAACAAGCCCAAAATTGTGCATCTCCACCCCCGATTTTTTGTGGTACTCGCCCGGGGGAAGCAGCCAGGTTCATTCCTCTCCAAAAGAGGGTTTTTCACTTTGGAAAAATGCATGTTCCAAGGAAATCCAAGTTGTTGTAGTCTTACACGCCCTCAGCCTCCAAGGGCTGGGGGTGCACTTGTGACTTGAGTTTATTTTTTTTTCCTTCGGGTTTTTTTTCTTCCACTTGCAGTTTTTAGGGTTTTTTTTTCATTTTTCTTCTAACGTTGGGGGTTTGCTCTTTGCTTGTGGGGTTTGCCCTCCCAGGAACTTCATTAGCAGGAAGAAGTGGGATGGGGCCAGTCACCACTCCAGTGTGAAAATTTAAAGAATAAGCTAAAAAAAAAAATAAAAAATCCCAGCCAGGGGAAGGTGTTTACTCCGAGAGAGATCCAGGGATGTCCACCAGTCTTCCACCTTTGAAAAAAAAATAACAGCACCTGGGCTTTTCCCAGCTCCCCCTCCGTGTGTTCCCACACGTTTTTTTTCTCTCTCTGTTTCCAAACCAGCAGGTGAGAAATGAAGGTGGCATGGTCTCGACCTTGCTGGAGGGGAGAGATTCTGATTTTTCCTGCAGAGGTGGAGGTGAAACTGCCAGGGGAAAGGTGGAGAGAACCCAGTTGTGAGGAATTCAGCTTTTTCTTGGGGAATTTTAGGAGAGGCCTCTGGTGAGAGGTTTCTCACGGCTCTCCCCCTCCTGCCCTTTTTTTTTTTTTGCCCTTTCTTTGGGCTGCTGGGTTTTGTAACCCCTCGGTCTYGCGGCACCAGCTCCAGGGAAGCACGGAGGGATCGGGGAGGAGGCTCCAGCCATGCCTGCAGCACCCCAAAAACTGTCAGAGAACATCCAGAGCTCTGAATCCTGGCAGGGATCAATCCAGCTGATGATCAGTGCAAAGGATGGGATCTCAGTGGCCCGTGGATGATCCCTGATTCTCCTGGAGGTGCCAGGTTTGGCTCGTGTGGCTGCAGCTCTTCCGGAGAAGGCGCTGCTGGAGGCTTGGACTCGCTCTGCTGCTCTTTTTGGGGGTTGTCTCCTCCTCCTTAAGCCCTGCCTTGCCTTCACCCCTTGGAATAATTCACTGGGAGTCCCTTTCCTTGGAGCTGGCTCTGGATTGTCCCTCTGGAGCTGGAGGTGGGACATGCTCGGCTCGGGCTGAGCCCTTCCCCGTGGGCTCCTGCTGCTCCTCTCTTGTGACCCTCCCTGGGTTCTCCTCACCTTTCTCATCTCCTCCATCCCCTCTGGCTCCAATTGGCTGGAATTGGCTGTCCAAGGAAATTCCCATCCCTGGGAGMRCAGAAGTTTTTTCAGGAGAGGCTGGAGCCGGCTGGGTTCTCCTCCCCACCTTCCTCCTCTCCTCCATCCCTCTGGCTCAATCAGGAGCAGCGGGAATTGGCTGGAATTGGCTGGAAGTGGCTGTAGAAGGAAATTTCCATCCCTGGGAACACAGAGATTTTCTGGGAGAGGCTGGAGCTGGCTGGGTTCTCCTCTCCATCCCTCTGGCTCAGTTGGGAACTGGCTGGAATTGGCTGTAGAAGGAAATTCCCATCCCTGGGAGAGCAGAGATTTTCTGGGGAGTTCCCCTCCCCAATTTCCTCCTCTGGCTCGGTTGGCTCAGTTGGGAATTGGCTGGAAGTGGCTGGAAGTGGCTGTAGAAGGAAATTCCCATCCCTGGGAATGCAGARKTTTTTTGGGAGYGGCTGRGTTCCCTTCCCCAYCCTCTTCCTCTCCTCATCCYTCTGGCTCATTTGGGAATTGTCTGGAATTGGMTGAAATTGGCTGGAAGTGGCCRTAGAAGGAAATTCCTGTCCCTGGGMGTGCAGAGRTTTTTCAGGAAGAGGCTGAAGCCAACTGGGTTCTCTTCTCTCCACTTTCCTCCTCTCCTCCATCCCTCTGACTCAGTTGGGAATTGGTTGAAATTGCCTGGAAGTGGCTGTAGAATGAAATTCCCGTCCCTGGGAACCCAGAGTTTTTTGGGAGAGGCCGAGTTCTCCTCCCCACCTTCCTCCTCCATCCCTCTGGGGATCATCAGTTGGGAATTGGCTGAAATTGTCTGGAAGTGGCCGTAGAATGAAATTCCTGTCCCTGGGAGYRCAGAGGTTTTCCRGGAGAGGCCGAGTTCTCCTCCCCATGTTCCTTCTCTCCTCCATCCCTCTGGTTCATTTGGGAATTGTCTAGAATTGGCTGAAATTATCTGGAATTAGCCGTAGAATGAAACTCCTGTCCCGCGGAGCGCAGAGATTTTTTGGGAGAAGCCAGRTTCCCCTCCCCACTTTCCTCCTCCATCCCTCTGGCTCATTTGGGAATTGTCTGGAATTGTCTGTAGAATGAAATTCCCGTCCCTGGGAGCGCAGAGGTTTTTTGGGAGAGGCCGGGTTCCCCTCCCCACCCTCCCTTCAGGAACGCACAGCGGAATCTCCCGTGCCTTTTCCGAGCACTGCCTGCAGCACCTCCTGCCACGCCAGGGCCCAGATCTTTTGCCAAGATTTTTTAAGTGTTCCTTAAACCACAACACATCCAAGTGTCTTCGGTTCGCCCCCGGCCTTTCCGAGGAGGGGAGGAYGAGCTCGCCCCGTTCCTGCCCCCAAAAGCGGAGGGAAGGTCCGTGATAATCCCAAAAATGTCCCGAGTCTCCCTGGTGCTGGCGAGCTGGGCTTTGTTCACTGCCAACAGCGAGAAGGAATTGCCATCACTGCCCGTCCCC